CCCTTGACCTTAATTCTCACTTCTTTGATTTTCTTCTCAATCTGAGGTTGCTGGCTAACCACTGCTTGAAGGGGGTCCCACCAGGTTCTCCTTCCTTCTCCTTTTCTTTCTCAGCCTGCATCCTTAGTGGCAGTGGAAATGTGCTGCCACCTGGTGACAAGGCTGAGCATAGCGCCCCTGCAGGGACACAGGAATAAGCCTTTCAGACGCTTGAGGCTGATGCTGGGAAACCATGACCTCCTCACCTTCTGAGTCTTTAGAACCTGGAATGAATTTAGAGTTAGCTGAGCCCTTCTCTAGATATTCCACTAGGGCCCAGAGGCCTTGGGACACACTTGATGTGGGTGGGGGTCTGGTGGGTGGGGCCTGGGTGCCTGGAGCAGTTCCTCTTCCTTGGGCAGGATTTCCTGTTGCTCAGAGTGCAGGAAACTTGACCTCTCCCTCCTGCCTCTCACTGGCTTTGAGTCTCCTGAACTCAGACTGTAGCCCTTGGGAGCCCTGGCTCCTTGGCCACCGCTGGGGTGGCTCACGTCACTGGGCCCTAGTAAGAAGCCCCCTGGGGACAGCGGCTCCAGATCAGCCCCTGGAGCAAGCCGTCTGAAGGGCCCATCCTCCTCCCTCTGCGCTGACTGAGAGGCAGAGAGGGAGGGGCACTGGGAGAGGGGAGTAAGGGCAGGCCCCCTTCCTGGAGTGGCTCTGAGCTCTCATCCTTTCTAAGCCTCAGCTGTTGGCTAGCAACAACAGAGCCATGTAAAAATATAAGGCTTTGGGGAAGTGGCGATAGGGCCAAGAGGAAGTGAGCCAACTGATTTTCTGCAACTCTGCAGGCAGCAGTCAGTCAGTGAGAGCCAGCCCCAGGCAGAAGCCTCCACCTTCTGCCCGCCAGACATCCTGTCTCAGCACCACCTGTACCAGTTCTGGGGCTCCAGAGGCCTTTCCTGGGCCCCTAGTAACACGCGTCTTGTTATTGCAGCCTAGGTGCTGGGGTTTCCCAAGGCTTTTCCGAGAAGCTGCAAAGGATCAGACGAACTGTCTCTGGCCAACCACTCAGGATGTTAAGCAGAACCCCAAGGGCAAGGTTGCAGACTTGTGGTTGAGTTGTGTCCAGTTCCACCAGCCCAAGGAGGCTCCAGGCCAGGGTGTGGGCCAGGTGAGGGCTTTCCCCAGGCCTCCAGAGGCTTTTCCTGCAATTCAGGCCCATGATTCCTCCCAGATCTCTGCCTCTCCTGCCTCCTCATGGGAGTTCAGGTTCTTTTGGTAGAACTGAAACAGACATGGTCCTTCTGTTAGATGGGAAAATCCCCTGAGCCACGTTTCACTTATAATTTACTAAAAAAAATTTTTTTTTGGCACATTGATCCAATGAAAGGTTTTCTTTCTGGCCCGGAGCTCCCCTTGGGGCCCCAGCCCCATCAGTGGCCTCGTACAAGTGTCTCTCCTGTTCCTCCATCTCTTCTTGACTCAGAGCTGGACCCACGTTGCACTTGAGCTCTGTCCCCGTAGTCTTGGTCGCCAATTTCTTTTCCAGATATAAGGTTAGAACCTCCTGTTGATAATATGACAATGTCAAATCCAGGGCCTCTTTGTATTTGTGAAAGCTTCGTATGGTGGTTCACTTGCTCATTCATCTGCCAAAGGCTGTGGGTCAGAACCTGGGCTCTGAAGCCAGGAGCCTGGGTTGGAATGCAGCTCTGCCACTTCCTAACTGTGCAAACCTGGGCAAATTATTTAACACTTGTGAGCCTCAGTTTGCTCAACTGAGTAACAGTTGATAGTATCTATGTCATCAGAGAACATTGAATGAGACCATGTAAGTAAAATGCTTAATATTAGTAACTGATATAATGGAAAGTGCTTAAGAGGCCCTGGTTGATTTATTGGTGTTATACACTCAATGCTGACTTGATGGCCCCTGGTTCACTGAGGTCCCTTTCTGTTCATTCATTTCTCAGTATACTGAGCGCCTTCTTTCTGCCAGGCATTGTGATGGGGGCTGGAAATGCAGAGATGAGAAGTGGAGGTCCCTGCCCTCCATGAGCTTAGAGGATAACAGGGGAGGGCTGTATAAACACAGCATGTTGGGGTCCCAGAGGGGGCGGTGTCTGGGAAGTTTACTCAAGGTCCTGCTTGAAGGAAAAGTGCCTGTGTTCTAGGTGGGCATGGCGGAGAAGGGCCTTCCTAACTGGAAAAGCGGGGAACCGAGGGGAGCAGAGGTGAAAGAGCAGGCCTCAGAGCCGCCAGTGCTCAGCATGGGTGCGCTTATGGTTTCTGGGGAAACCAGGCAGCAGGACACTGTGGGGGCTGGGAGACCCCATCGCCATTTCAAGAATGGGGGCAACTTGGAGGCTGTGGGGGGACTCACATCTGGGGATGGGTTAGGAGGCTGAGGCGTCTCTATGTGAGAGATGATAAGGGAACTTACTTAACCAAGATTGGCTGTGGGTTCTGGCGGGGGAATGGATAAGTGAGGTGACAGGCCACCGTGGCCTCTCTGTCCTCTGTGCCCCACTGCCCTTTGGTGTTCAATCTAGAGTGAAAAGGACACTCAGGGCCCATCCTAGGCCAAAATGTTAAGTGACTGTGAAAGCCTTTCCCCTCACCCCTCAAATTGCCCCCTGAGCAGCAATGGGCTCTACTCAGAAAATGTAAGGACAGGGCTTCCCATGTTCACAGAGAGGAAATTCCCCAGATATGTGCAGAGAATTCTGGAAACAGAATTCCCATATGGGAAGAGGTGGCAAGGTTGGTGGCTGCAGGTGTGTCCCCCGCCTCTCCATTATCCTGTGGTTTATTCTCTCACGGCTATCCTCTCCCCAGCACGCTGCTCTTGTGACTAGTGCTTGGACAAAACCCCTCTCTTTGTTGTCTCTAACCAGCTGAGATGGGCTGGTCCCAAGAGGACTCACCTGGGTCCTAAAGGAGAAGAAAGGGGCAAGAATCCAAAAACACATGCCAGTCAGTTTCCAGCTCCAGCTGTCAAATCTGTCCCTAACACCTCGGTCCACTTCTGGTGGGCTGGATCCATCACTCAGGCACTTTTCCTGGCCTCCACCGCCTTTTCCTTCCCACCAGCTTCTGGCCCATAACCACACAAGGGCCCCTCTCTCTTTCTTCCCAAATGCAGGAGCTGTCCATTGTCTGTCCAGCTCTCAAACATAGAACAAACGTCTGTGCTCCTCTCTGCCACGGGCCCCCTCCCTCTGGCCTTGGCCACCAGGGCAGACCTGGGGCTGCCACGCGCTCCAGGAAATCACTCCTTGGCTGTACAATTGCCACAACCAGGCAATAGGACTCGTCCCTACACCAGAGGGTCTTTCTCTTATATAAGGTTATTTGGTGCTACTGGTGGTTGAGGGTCGAGGGGAGGGTACATTTTTTACAGTGAGTCACTAAGATTCAGCGATTGCTTTAGTGAGAAGCACTTGTGTGGGTAGCACGCAGCCTCTTAGAAATCACTCTCTGTGGCTTCCTTCTCCCCAGCAGAGATAAAGAAAGCAGTGGCAGTAGAGACATTCATGAGAGGCCACACTAGAGGCTGGCAAAGCCTCACAAGTTCCCACAGTGCAGGGATGTGGGTAGAGCTAACACCGAAAAGTGCCAGAGACACAGAAATGCAGTTGGAAAGGGCTCCCCCTTCATGCCTGGGGAGTTCACTCAGGGCGAAATGGCAAGTCTAGTGGGGATAAGCAAGGCTTCAGACAGACTTGGGCCGACTTGGGATGCTGCGGGGGATCAGTGGGTGATGTAAAAGCAGAACAACCGAAGAAGACCCTGGCAGGCCCCGTGCTGAGGCATCTCGCTGGTGCCCCATGAAAAGTGTTAGTAAACAGCAGAATGACACTGTTGTTATCGTTGAATTTTATTTTTGGCTGTACATAGATTGGTGTGTAAGGTAAATATTATAAACCCTTCAATCCACTGTGTGGGCTTCCTTTTGCTGTCTCTCTAAATAACCCCTTTGGGCGTCACTGAGAAACCCTTGAACTAGGTACCCCAAATAACGATTGCATTCAAGTGTCTGGTTCCCAGGAGTTGAGACCAGGTGAGCCACTTCAGGGACAGGGTGTGATTCCCAGCAGACACTTGTTCCTGCAGGGTGGGGGTGGGGTGTGGGGCACGAGGGGAGGAGGGTATGCCATGTGATTATGGGCACATGGTGCCCTTTCCCTCTGTTCTGCATGGCTGGTCATCCTGTTGTCCTGTTGTTCCTCAAATAGATTTGACACAGGCTGGTTGCTAGTGTGGAGGCCTGGTGGGTATGTGGGCGGAGAAGGGGAGACGGAGGGTCAGCAGCTGTGGTGCTTATGCGAGGTGCTGAAGTTTTGCTCTTCTGAGCAGGGAATCTTAGCTTATCCCTTTGCAAAAGATCTTTGATACAAAGGCTGGGTTCCAGCTGTGCCCAGCAAAGAGTCAACTTATGCGGCCGAATTCTCAGTGCTTGCTGTTCTGCACTGTCTTTGCCTGTTCAGGCTGATATAACAAAATACCAAAGGCTGCATGGCTTATAAACAACAGAAATTTGTTTCTCATAGTTCTGGAGGCTGGGAAGTCCAAGATCAAGGCAGCAGCAGAATCATGTTTGATGAAGACCCACGTCTTGGTTCATAGATGGTGGAAAGGACAAGAGAAATCTGTGGGATCTCCTAAGAACACTATTCCCATTCATGAGAGCTTCACCCTCATGACCTAATAATCTCCCAAAGGCCCCACCTCCAAATATCATCACCCTGAGCATCAGATCTCAATGTATCAATTCTGGAGGGACACAAACATTCAGCCTATTGAATGCATTAAGAAAGAATAAGTTCTGGCTAAGGTTAGAGGCTGCCACCAAAGTCTATTGCTTGTTCCTCTGTGGTCTCCCTTTGCTTCTCTGTGCTAAGCTAGCAGAAAGCCAGAATATTACGCAGTCAGTGCTCCCAGCTCCTCTCCCACCCAGTGCTGCACTTTCATCCGGTCCCTGAGTCAATGAATGTTGAGCCTTCTCCATGACACTCACACCCCCTCCTCTGTTCTTTCCATCTTGCTGAGTGTTCTTGGCTCTGTGCTTCCTCTTGGCCCATCTCACTTCCTGAAACACCCCTGAAGAGGGCTGCTTATCTTGATGGAGCTTGAGTAGCCCTACGGAGGCAGGGGAAGGCAGAGGCCTTGAGCGTGTCTGTCTGGGGAACTAAGAGCAGCAGCACTTTCAGATTCAGCCCACATAGAACTGTCCCCCAGGATTCCAGGAACCCGGGGATGTGTGGCCTGCAAAGGGGCTGGAAGTAATTGCCTTGTGATGGGATCTTTCTAAGGAGAAGGAGTCCTCTAAGAGAGCCCCCACCAGAGAAGAGAAGGAATGGTTAAGTTGTGAGTTTTAGACTGTTGCTGCTGCACCTGGAGCTCTGGCAAGATGTCTGGCAAGAGCTAGGCTCACTGGCCCACACGGATCCTGTTGGCATGCCTGTCTCCTGGGAGGCTCCTCTGGGAAAGCAAGATGCCTGTCAACAGCACTGCCCTGTCGTTGGCCACCATTACCTACATCACTGTGGAGATTCTCATTGGGCTCTGCGCCATAGTGGGCAACGTGATGGTCATCTGGGTGGTCAAGCTGAACCCTAGCCTGCAGACCACCACCTTCTATTTCATTGTCTCCCTAGCCCTGGCTGACATTGCTGTTGGCGTCCTGGTCATGCCTTTGGCCGTTGTCGTTAGCCTGGGCATCACGACCCACTTTTACAGCTGTCTTCTCATGACCTGCCTGCTACTGGTCTTCACCCACGCCTCCATCATGTCCTTGCTAGCCATTGCTGTGGATCGATACCTGCGGGTCAAGCTCACGATCAGGTAACCTGCTTGAGAGGGGTGGTGTGCGGCAGTGATAGAGGTGCCTGGGAAGTGGGGCTACAAAGTTCAGATCCCAGACTCTTTGAGTGAAAACAAATCCAAGTTGGCCTCTGCACTTGAAAGAGGGCACTCACTTTCTTCTAACCATTTGGTGTGTGAGAGGTTTAGCAACAATGAGCTGAGATTCGGGAACTAGAAAAAGAAGAATGCTCCCATCGCTCTCCACTGACTCTGGGAGTGTACGTTTGATCCCCTGAGGAAGCTAAAGATGATGAAAGCTTGATGCATTTTTAATTAGTAAAAAATGCTCTTGGCTTTTAGAAATGATAGAAATCTACTAGATAAAATAAGGAGCAGACACATAAGAATAAGAGGAGCTAAATTGATGGTTCTGTTCTTGGCCAATGTAGGTTATTGTAAAGTTATTTTAACTTTGCTTCCTCTTCCTTGTTGAGAAGGGGGTCAAAAGATTTCTCCTTTGCAAAAAGTAGTAACAACCGTTCCTGTGACCATGTGAACAGAACGTCCTGCCAAATGGAGAAATCTGATTGCCCAGGTGTCCTGAACTGCGTCTCCTCCTGTCTCATGTTTCTCCTCCCTCCTCCCGGGGAAAGAGCCTGGTGAGGGAGCTACAAACAAGCTTTTGATACAAACAAGCCTGGGTTCAAAACCTAGATCTTGAGATCTGATCTTGGGCAGGTTATTTAACTTTCTCTGCTTCAGTTTCTCATCTTCTCATAGTGGTTAAGATGCTCTGAACTCAGACCTCTTTTCACTTTTAGCTCCACCACTTCTAGCTTGCACAAGTTACTTACTTGTCTGTTTCATTTTTTTCACTTATAAAATGGGAATAATAATTACACCTTCCTCATATGAGTAAATGAGTTAACCCATGTAAATCTCTTAGAAAAAATGCCTGGCACACAGTTGATGCTCAATAAATGGTAGCTATAACTACTATTATTTTCACTATTACCATTAATGAAATGGAGATTATCATAAAATATCTCCAGTTTGTTGTGGGATTTCTTTGAGATAAAGTCTACTGAGTACATAGTTAGTACTTAACGAGATCAGTTTCCTTCTTCCAGTCTATATAGGATGTTGTCAGGAAGGATGGTTTAAGGAGAAATGGTGACTCTCATTGGATGAGGCTTTGAAGGTCCCAGAAGCACTTCAACACGACCTTTGCAACTCCATAGACTAAACATTAAGTGTGGATGCCAGTGCAAACAGAGACATGGGGGCATGCACACATTGAGGGGAAAAGAGGGAGAGGCACAGTATAATTTATGGGCATCAGCACAATAGCCAAAATAAACACTTGAGCACAGGAGGCAAACGTGCTTTGAGGGGATCATTTCTCACCAGGTAGGTGGTTCTAGGGACTTAGATAACTCTTACCTCCCAGGAATTGGGCTGGAAATAGAGCTGTGAGTGGTGCGTGCAAGCACGTGACTCTAGGCAACATATTCTTGATCCATTCTAGATAGTACTTCTTTAGAAGAGTCCCCAGAGAAGTTTGCTGGATTTTTCTCCAATCATTGTCTGCTCATGTTGTCTTCATATCCAGCAGAGTTCAGCTGAAATCACCATAGAATACCAATGCTCTCCAGTCCCAGCTCCCCCCATCCTTTAGCACTTCCTGCTGTGAGCTCACTGACTCTCTTCCATTCAAACAGATACAGGAGGGTCACCACTCAAAGAAGAATATGGTTGGCCCTGGGCCTTTGCTGGCTGGTATCATTCCTGGTGGGATTGACCCCCATGTTTGGCTGGAACATGAAACTGACCTCAGGGTACTACAGAAATGTCACCTTCCTTTCATGCCAATTCCGTTCCGTCGTGAGGATGGACTACATGGTCTACTTCAGCTTCTTCACTTGGATTTTCATCCCCCTGGTTGTCATGAGTGCCATCTATCTTGACATCTTCTACGTCATCCGGAACAAACTCAATCTGAACTTTTCTGGCTCCAAAGAGACAGGAGCATTTTATGGACGGGAGTTCAAGACAGCCAAGTCTCTGTTTCTGGTTCTCTTCTTGTTTGCTTTGTCCTGGCTGCCTTTATCCATCATCAACTGTATCATATACTTTAATGGTGAGGTACCACAAATTGTGATGTACTTGGGCATCCTGCTGTCCCATGCTAACTCCATGATGAACCCTATCGTCTATGCTTGTAAAATAAAGAAGTTCAAGGAAACCTATTTCTTGATCCTCAAAGCCTGTATGATCTGCCAATCCTCTGATTCCTTGGATCCAAGCATTGAGCAGACTTCTGAGTAGTTAGCCATGAGAAATGACTCTCCATCCCATTCACCTTCAGATTCAGCATCAACAAACACTTGAGGGCCTATCCACCTGGGCCAGAGGCTTTCACATCCTTGATTCCTTCCACTGAGGTGGGGAACATTTGGCTCGCTGCCTCCAATTTTACTTTTCCTACTACTCTCTTCCTTTAATTCTATTTTTTTTCCTTGTCCTTCTCTAATTCAATTTTATGGATGCCTGACTTGAGGACAATGTTCTGTAGTTATTACTGCCTATGTTCCTCCTTCCCAAACAGGAGGAGAAGTCATGGAATCTGAAGGATGCCTCATTGACTTGCTGACAGAAGACACCAATGGAGCTGGACATATACATGATGGTGATTCAGTTCTCCTCCATCGTGGAACTAAGCAGAGAACCCTGCTCTCAGCAGATGCTGGGAGATGGTGGGAACAGAAGGAGTGAACTGAGTTTAAGGGGAACTTAAACTGCTGAATTCACCCATAAATGTATTTGAGTAAATAAAAGATGATAGCTAACTGTTGTATAGCTCTTTGCTGGGTCTTGGCACTCAGCCTGCTTGCTACCTGGAGCCATGTGGCATGTTCACCTGTGTGAATTCTGGGCCCTTCATCCCTTGCCCCAGAACACCATGCTCCTTTTTCCTGGGCTGATCAGAACATTTGTCAACTTTATGAACCATTAATCCATTGTTAGAGAAGGAATGATTCTCTCTCTAGAGCTGAGTCCTAATCATTTCCTCTGGTGTTTCATTTTAATGGGAGTGGTGAGGATGGGGCAAAAAGAGACACTGGGTAGATACTATTTGTTGAGCACTTCCTATGCACTAAGCACCATGCATAATCATCTCTTTTGGTCCTGACAATTCTTTAAGGTAGGTACCACCATTATTATCATCTCCATTTTGCAGAAGAAAAAACTGAGGCACAGAGAGGTTAAGTGACTTGTCCATAGTCACACAATTAACAAGAAGTAGAGCCAGGATTTAAACTCAGCCCTGCCTTATGGGAGAACCCAAGCTTCCCACCACCTATTCTCAGACATGAAGAGGGACTTGTAACTTCTCCAAACTCCAAACTCTCAAGTTCACCTATTGAATAATTAGCAGATACGTGGGTACAATCTACGGTTTGTATACTTGAGGACTGCTGGGGTTTTTTGCCTTAGCTGCTATTGTTGATCTCATTAATCAGGACACCAGACAGGGGTGGAGTTCCGGTCCCATCATTGGAGTGTTGAGCATGGCTCTGGGGATTCAACGTGGCAGCTCCACTGTAGTCTACTCAAATTTGCAGCTGTGGACTCTCATTCCCAAGACAATAAATATATGAACTTAACGAGAGCAGCAAGATGCAGATTTCAGTGAAACCATGTCAAAGAGGATGATGTACTGAAAATGTTTCTTATTAATTCTTAGCCAGTCCTGAAAGTTTATCCTAACCCCAATCTTAGGCCAGAGCCCGATAACCATGGTTATCTTGTTAACATTTCATTTCAGCAAAGGTCCTTATTTCTCCTCCTGTTACCCCAAGAAGAATCAGCACTATCTGGGCAGTTAAAAAACTTGCACATACTTTCCTAGCAATGCAAAACGGAGTTGGTGGCTCCACCCACCCTCTTCCCAGCACCACTCACAATGGTATCTTAGAGGCAGAGGCCTGGAATACAGCCCACTGTTCCTGTGGGTCCTGGATGTGGGTGGTTACTTCAGTCCTGACAATCTCCCCTTCAACATTTTAGGGGATCTTTTTTCTTTAAAAATATAAGCTCTCCACTCCTTCCCAAATTTTTTTTCCTAATGATATCCCCTTATTTGAGTTAAGGCTTTTCTCTCTAAATTACTTTTTGTGTTTAGTTAAAATACCCCTCCAGGATGAGGCCCTGGGTTTACTCTGGGGCTCTGGTCACCCCGGCACACTGTCTTGCCCAGGAACCATCTGCCCAGTTGGAGACTTGAAAGAAGTGCTGGTTAGTTGTCAGTGCCACATAATCTTCACACAGCGCTTTTTAATTTACAATCTCTAACCTAGTTGCTATAGCAACACTTGCACCTGCCTTTTTTGGAAACCTGATTTAAAGTGACCCCTTCCCTCAAAACAAAACAGCAGCCTGGGGCCAGCCCCTGGCTTAGCGGTTAAGTGTGCGCGCTCCGCTACTGGCGGCCCAGGGTTCCAATCCTGGGCGCGCACAGACTCACTGCTTCTCCGGCCATGTTGAGGCCGCGTCCCACATACAGCAACTAGAAGGATGTGCAACTATGACATACGACTATCTACTGGGGCTTTGGGGGGAAAAAAAAAAGGAGGAGGATTGGCAATAGATGTTAGCTCAGAGCCGGTCTTCCTCAGCAAAAAGAGGAGGATTAGCACGGATGTTAGCCCAGGGCTGATCTTCCCCACCAAAAAAAAAAAAAAATTAAAACAGCAGCCTATCCTGGTCATTTGGTGTCATCAGATGAGCTGTAGCTCCTGAGTTTCAGAAAGACTTTGTTTTCATTTTTCTTTTCTCTCGTTCTCTTCCTTCTTCGCCTTCTCTTTCTTTTTCTTTCTGATGGCTTCTGCTTAGCAAACCCACTGAGGGTTTGCAGGGAGTTGTATTTTTTTTTTTGGTCAAATGGGGATCTCCTGAGCTAAGGGGTTCCACCAGCCCAGAAGAAGCCCTTAACATGAAAACTCCTTTTGGAGTGGACTCAAAAAAATGAACCGAGAGTCATCGGCGAGCAGCTTGGGTAGAAGTGGCGAGACCCACCCTGGTTTCAGGTTTAGAGATTATGTCACGGGAGTCTCTCCGAGGTCGTCTCTTGGCTAGCTGCCTTCAGCTAAACAGTAAAGGGTGGCTGTTGGGTTTTATTCTAAAGGAATAAGGTAAAAAGACCTCAAACAAAACCGAGGTTTGCTTCCTCGTTCCTCATGTGAATTCACTGGAAAGGTAGATGTTGAGTAGCTGGGCTTATTTACCCAATTTTTTATCGTGTCAACTGTGGAAATAAGCAAAGACCAAATGACAAAAGCAAAGGCTATTTATTCTGAGCTTGCTATAGCAAGGGACTCAGCCACTGTCTCTTGCGTCTTGGCAGAGACTCAAAGGCAGACAGAGGATGGGAAAGCTCTACAGCAGGGAAAAGAAAAGGCTTCAGGAGTGCCACGATTGGAAGCTGTTGGCCTCGGGAAGCTGGAAGTAGGCTAACTAGAAGTGGGGCATCCTGTGTGATTGGTAGAGGTGTATATTTGGCTTTCTCTGGTTGGCTCCGAGTTGGAAGCAGGACAAAAATTAGGGAAGCTGTCAGTTATCAATCAACTCCTGGCCATTTTAGGCCAATTGTTACAGGGATTATTTTTTGGCATTCTGGACTGTTGCTAGAGATAATGGTTTGACTTCTCACAAGTCTGGCTTCTAGCAGGCTGGCTTCCTGGGCCAGTTCCTGTACGTAATGGGCTGGTTTCCTGGGCTGGTTGTGGGCCAGAGTTCTATTTTTATATATGGTCTAGCCAATGACCGTTTGTGTATTCAGTTTCTTACAACTAGGTGCATATTTTCTAGAGAAACTCTGCTTTTGGATACTATAGTTGGTACGATGGGAATAAGAGGCAGCATCTTGCCCATACTCAGATGGCGTGGTGTATGTAAAGTCTCTTTGTAAGCTCTAAAGTGCTCTATAATTTTGCAGTACTCTTCCTTTTGAGGAAGAAGAATAGTGTGATGGAAAGAACTTTTTTTTTTTTTTCAGGTTTAGCATCAGACCGTAGTGGCTGTACTAGCTGTGTGAACTTGGGCAACTTACTTAAACTGAGCCTCAATTTTCCTCATTTGTAAAATGAGACTAATGATACCTGTGTCACAGTTGTTTTTTGTTTTTACTTTTTATTATGAAAATTTCAAACATACAAAAGTAGAGAGATTAGAATAATGAATCATCATGTATCTATTATCCTGCTTTAATAATGATCAACTTATAGCCAATCTTGTTTCATGTATGCCCCACCCACTTGCCCTACCCTGATTATCTTGAAATTTTGGACATTAAATTATTTCATCTGTACACATTTTGGTTTGTATTTCTAAAGCATATTTTTAAAATTATCAATTGTTTTATTCTTGTTACCCATTTACCTTCTTATTTACACATCTAAAGAGTGAAAATTAATTCTACCCTTAAGAGGCAGCAACAGAACTAATAACACCAAGTAATATAGACAGTCCCTAATTTATGATGGTTCAATTTATGATTTTTCGACTTTATGATGGGGTGAAAGTGATATGTATTCAGTAGAAACTGCACTTCAAATTTTGAATTTTGGTCTTTTCCTGGGCTAGCGATACACGGTACAATAGTCGCTCATGATGCTGGGCAGTAGCAGGAAGCCACGGCTCCCAGTCAGCCCCACAGTCACAAGAGACAACTGATACAACCATTCTGTTTTTTCACTTTCAGTAGAGTATTCAATAAATCACATGAGATATTCAACACTATTATAAAATAGGCTTTGTGTTAGATGATTTTGCCCAACTGTAGGCTAATGTAAGTGTTCTGAGCACACTTAAGGTAGGCTAGGCTAAGCTATGATGTTCGGTAGGTTAGGTATATTAAATGCAATTTCAACTTATGAAATCTTCAACTCACGATGGGTTCATTAGGACACATCATTTACTCCTCATCAAACCTCTATGACTTCAACAAATAAACTTGGTAACTCCATCATAAGTTGAGGAAGATCTGTACTCAGAATGCTAATAGATACATCTGTTTATTCTCTGTAACTCTGGGCCTTTCATGTACTTTAAAATGTTACTTTTTCATGTCTTGGGCATTTTCCTGATATCTGTGCACAATCTGTTTCTCTTTCTGTTGATACTTTCTTTGGTTTCATGGTGCTATCTCTGAGCAATTCTTAGTGTTAGTTTTGCATGCAGCTTTCTCAGAGATAAGGATGGCTTTAAAAATATATAACCATAGTATCTATGTTAATTATTGATTGCTATGTAAAACGTTACCACAAAACTTAGAGGTTTAAAACAATAATCCTGTATTATCTCTTGTGGTTTCTATGGGTGAGGAATTCAGGAGAATCTTGGTTGGGTGGTTCTTGCTCTGGGTCTCTCATGAGGTTGTTGGATCTGCAGTCATCTGAAGACTTGATTGTGGCTAGAGGATCCACTCCCAAGATGGGTCGCACATCTCTGGAAAGTTGATGCTGGCAAGTTGGTTCCTGTCCACATGGACCCCTCCATGGGTCTGCTTGAGAGTCCTCACAACACGGCAGCTGACTTTCCCAAGAAGGAGCAGTGCAAGAGACTAAGGTGGAAGTTGCATACCTTTTATGACCTAGCCTCGAAGTCATACACTATCACTTCTGCAATATCTAATTGATCACATGGGCCAGCCCTGATTCAGTTTAGGATGGGACTACACAATGGCATGAGAACCAGGAGCCATCTTAGAGGCTGGCTATGACAATGCCATTATCACATCTGAAAAAAATTTAACAATAATTTCTTAATATCATCAACTGTCTAGTCA